GGCACAACTGGAGCGAAACCTATTTGCCACCCCTAACCAGGCCCCAAGTTGGGGGTTTGGCTGTGCATTCAGGACTTGAGGGGGTGATTATGGCAACAGGGACCATGTGACACAGTCAGTCGATAAACCTCCCCAGCTCATTAACCAGTCACCACGACAGGGGAATGACACTCCTTCCCCTTCAATGGATGCCTCAAAAAGGGTTTTACCCAGTGGCTCTAGCAGCTGCCCCTTGCAGATGAGAGCATGTTGATTCTATGAAACTTTGCATTGAGAACAGGGTGTGGCTCAGCACCACCTGTTTCCTGGGCATGTTCCAGGTGCTAGACACTGCCCCAGATGCTGGGGACACAATAGGGTGGCATGCATGTAGCTGCCATTTCTCATGCAGAGATGACGATCAAGTTCACAATTAAACAAGAAATAGCTAATTCCCAATGGCAGGAACAAATGGGAAGGAAGTAACCAGGTGATGTGGAGGAGAAGATGGGGTGAGGGCTGGCAGTGACTGAGCTGGGGAATTTTGAATGATGACAAGAAACAGCCATGGAAGACCAAGTTGGGGAGCCTGCTGGAGGTACAGTGTGTGCCAAGGCCCTGAGGTAGAAAGAGGCTGGCAGGTCTGCGGAGCAGAAAGAGTAGCAGGGGCTGTGGATTCCTGAAGGGACTGGGGGTCACTCTCCAGGGGACTGACCAGCCTGGTCCCCTCACTCACGTGCTCTAATCAGCTGCTCCAGGTCCTGGACTTTGCGGCTCAGCTCCTCGGCCGGCAGAAAGCTCTTGCCCACCTTCATGAAGAGAGCCGGGATCTTGTTGCTGTGCAGGAAGCCAGCTGCCCGCCGCCTCAGCCCATGCAGGATACAGGCCTCCACCACGGCTATGGGGACATGGAGGTCAGCAGCACTGACTCTCTTGCCCATGTTCCCAGCAAGGCTCAGAGCTTCAGCCAGACATGGGCTCCTTGGACAGCCAGTCCCCAGCATCACCTGCCTCCAGCTGCCCTGCACCCCAGCCGACTTCCCCCTCTAATGCAGCAAGAGAGTTTAGTGGGTGACCCACAATCGTGGCTCAAGGCTGGACCACCTCTACTCAGGTCCTCTGCTGGTCACTAGCCAGCTGTGTGACTGGGCAATGACCCCCTCGGTGTCTCGGCTTCCTTACCTGGAAAGGGCAGAAGTGTGAGCATTGGCCTCAGAGCTGCTGTTACGAGAGGAGAGAATGCATGGGAGTACTTAGCAGAGCCAGGCACATAGTGGGTGCTTTATGAATGTTAGCTATAGTGCTGTCAGAGAGGGAAAGATGGAACATGGGACTGCTAAGCTCTACCTGGCCACGGAATATCAATATTGATATCATCATCATCTACACTGTGTCTGTAGCGCAGCTAACACGTATGGGTCTCCTTTATTCTCTGCCAGGCCAGGGAAGAAATGAAAACTATACTCACTCCTCAGATGTGGACACTGAGGATCAGAGAGGTGAACTTAATGGCTCAAGGCCACCCAGAAAATAAGTGATAAGAGTCAGGATTCAAATCCAATCTGAGTTCAAGGTGTGCTGTACCTGAAACTCTTTTGAGGATTTCATAGCAATCTTCTCATTTCCATTTTCCCTGGAAGTCCTTCCTAGCTCTCCTCAGAACAGGACACCTGGATTATATATAGCCTGGTCTCTACCATTAACTCACTGTGTGACCTCAGGCAAACCACTTTCCCTCTCTGGGCTGAAGGGAGTCATTCTGAGAAACTGGTCCTGCGCAGGCTATTCTGATGGCCTCTGGTACTTCTGGGAGCCTTCTACCTTCTCACCTTCTCCTCATGCCAGTATACAACTGGTACATCGTTAATGCTTACTGAAAAAGTGAGTATGTAACAGCAGCTACTCCTTATTGGGCACCTGCTGGGTGTCAGAT